AGACACCGTGGTTCTGCCTTGTGTTCACAGCCCACGTGCTTGTTAGTGACTGTGTCTCTGTCTTACTTGCTGCCACTGCACGTGTAACCCCACTGAAATGACTGAAGCTCTGCTAGTGCAGCAAGATAAGCAGGTCTAAGAGAATCCCACTGCTAATTACTGAAGTCTGCTTAGTTTCTTTCTCACCTATTTTAGCAAGGGACTTGCAGAAGAAACCTTTCCTGGGTGTTTTAAAGCATCAGTTGCTTCCATCTTTAACATAGGCCTTTACCAATTTGTACATCAGGAAAGGTGACTTCACAAAAATCTTGTTCAAACCAATATTTAAACATCTGGATTTTCTAACATGCCCTAACTTTAGCACAGCTTGGTCGCATTAGCTAAATAATTTTATTATTTAAATGTAACCTAGAGATATCTTAATTTTCCTGTTTCTATGAAAACCTACATCATTTTTAGGTTATATGACAGCATTTTCTAGATAGCATGCAATCACTTTCAGCAAGTGTGTCAACAGGCCAGCCTAGAGAAAGTGGATGGTAGTTTTGTAATCCCTAATGCATTGCTCATAGTTAAACAGATACTATCAAACTAGCTAGTCATGTTTCTACAACTTGTTTTTGTTACAACCATGCAGAATTAATAGGTTCAGCATCCAGGATATTTTAAGTTTGGCATGTGCTTTTTTAGTATAGTTTTTTTCTCTTTGCTATAGCCTTGGATTCATATCACTATAGCTTTCCCTTTACCATCTTAGGCCTTCGAGCTCTTTTCCTTCTTTAAGACTTGTGACTACCTTAAGCATCTGGTTCTGTTTTCTGTTTTGTAGGAAGTGCTACAATCTCAGTGCCCCTTTGCTGTGCTGTCAACACATTCCCAATTCTTTTCCTACAGTCTTTGCAGAACATGAATACAGCTTCCATGCACTGTTTACACCAACTCACTCTCCTGGATCACAACAGTTCAGTAACCCTCACCCTTTACCTGATCCTCTGTGCAGCTCTCTGCAGCTGTGACTGTCTTGTCTTCTTCCTGCTTCGTTCTCCTCTTTAGGCTACTGACTCCCTTTACACTCATTCTTTAGAACTTTTCCATGAGCCTTAATTTGATGCCAAAACCTATTTTTTTTCTTCCTGTATCATTTTAGCCTTGCATTATTCTCCAGTTTTCATTGCTATTCAAGAATACTCCTATGAATTTCTTATCCCATTTTCTTTCCCTGTTACTCTATTCAGCTCTCCAAAGCATTTCTCTTTTAGTTGCTAGAGAACAATGCCCCACTCAAACTACACTTCTATTCTTAAAGTATTCTACAGTATTTCAGAAATAGGCTACTGAAAAGCCACTACACTTAGAATAAATATCTGGAACATTATCTCAAGCAATCAGAGCAGTCTGCCTACCCTTGCTTCTCCCAGCAGTGAAACATCATGACTTTGAAAAGCCTCAGATTGTCCTTAGTAAATGGTGTCTGTTTGATCAGTTGCATAGCTTTAATATATGATGATAATTAGATGTCTTTTTTTAGTGTCTAAATCTTCCATTATATTTCCAAAGACAAAGAATTAAAATAAAAGGTTAGTAACTGTTTGTGCAATGGTTTAGGCCAGCAGTTCTGAAATACTGGTCCATAACCTACACAAAGTGTAGTGGGAGTCACATCAGGCACCATGTCAGAAAACTCACAGAGATCCTTTGGTATTAGTTAGATATGCTAAACATTCCTTTTTGGCAGTTCCTCCCCTCTCCACCTTCTTATCCCTCATCGGAAATTATACCTTGCAGCTGCCAATGGCAGTTGAGAACTTCAAGTATGTTGCAGAGTTTAGCCCATTTTTCTCAGCTGGAGCCTGAAATTGCTTATGTCACAGATTATTATGACTTCAGTGCCAGAAATAGCAAGAAGGAGCAAGATCTTTAGTAATACAAATAGAGAGAAGCAAATTTACATATATAAAAAAATACATGCAGAATGTAGATATTGAAAGAAGTGCTTTCCATTTTCTATAATGAAATCAATTCCTTAAGAACACTTAGCAGAGTAAGTGCAAAATACATAACAAATGAAGATTAGTTTAGCTTCAACCTACCTATTTTTGATTGAATATGAATTACTAAGCCATTAATTTTATTTATTTTAAATAAAATATCATCCCATTTTACCATGGTAAAATACCATATTCATGTTAATCCTTTCTTCAGAAGTTTTCAGAAGCTCAACACATAAAATAAGCATAGTAGAGAACACTTCTACCTAGGTCTCTCCAAGAGGGGGTTATTCACCAAGCATGTAACATGTTCTGGCATGAATTATTACACTGCATAAACGACTTTTGCAGTTTAAGCTGTACTGTGTCCCAATGAATTCCCATTTCCTTGATCTCTTTAGCTGACAGTACTATCTTCAACAAAGGAAGCCAGAAAGTTACCTGAAACAGGGAAAAGAAAGCATGACTAGTGTGAGAACCAGTGGGATGGCACAGTTAACACTAAAGAAGTAGGCTTAATTAATTAAATCAGTCAGTGACGAGTATATTAAACCTAACATATAAAAGCAGTGTGGATCAGAATGTAAACTTGATGTCCAACGTGCCTAATTCCCTTTGTTCCAGAAATATGAATCTGTAAGAAAACTTGCTGTGAAGAAATACAACCTTTGAATCGTGTCAGAATAAGTTCTCTACTCAGAAGAAGCCTTTGAGTTTTTCATTGTAGATGACAAGCTACCATCTAATCCAAATACAACTTGGTTTCCCAGGTGTATTGAGAGTTACACAGGAGCTCGTTGTGAGGAAGTTTTGCTGCCCAGCATCAAATCCCAAACAAAAGGTGACCTGTTTGCAGTTTTCTTGGCTTCCCTTCTTCTTCTAGGAGTTCTTGTAATTGGAGCATTCTACTTCCTTTGCAGGTAAAAGTGATTCATAAGGCTGAAGCTATTCAATCAAGTAGAAATTTCTTCTGGTAATCATGTACTAATTATTTGAATGTAAAAGTATGTAATGAATTATCCATAAGGTTGTATGGTTATTCAGCATAATGAATGTGGATGTCTCAACTTGTTGCTTGTAATATTTGCTTCCTGGCTTGAAGTTTTCTCAGTGTCATTTCTAAGGTCTTACTTACAGTTGCTTTGTAAAAAATACACATACTAAACACCTATGTGAAATTTTACAGTCTATCTAGAGTTAGGGCTAATATTTTAAAACATTAGTCTACCTTGTGTTCCAAAGACTGAGACGTAGAAGCAAATTAACAATGTGCTTAGAGATCAGAAACTGTTCCTACTGAATTGGCAACCAAAGCAGCTGGTGCCATTAGCTCCCAATTCCTCTACCACCCCTGGTCCAGAAAGGAAAACTAGGTAAAGAATGAAACTGAAGATTACTTCCAGGTAGATGTTTACTAGCATTTAGGACAACTGAGAGAGCTAACTAATTTGTACCAAGGGTGATCCGTGTTTGCATAGAAGGCAGACACCAGTGCTAGACAGCTGGTGCTGCAGGGTTGGCTTTAGTAGCATTTCAGACATTTCAGGACTTGGAATGAAAACACAAAAGCCGTTTCTGGGATTGAGGCAACTGTTTGATGCTGTACATGTATCACTACACTTATACCAAACCCAAACAAACTTACCACCTTCAACTGCAATGCAAGTCAACTTCCTATGTCCCCTCTTTATTTTTAGAGTACAGCACTTTTTGTAAGAACTCATTTTGCTATATACCATTAATATGTGTTTATGCATCTCTATGCCTCTGTAAGGCAGCTGTAATTCTTTACCATCACAGACTTGCAGCCTCTTCTCTTTCCTCCTATACTGCATTTCTCCTTGGTTATGATAACCAAAGGTTCTTGCAATTCTGTTCTTTGTGCTCCCATGGTCACATTGCCAAATCAACCTTTTTGATCTGTGCCTTTCAATGAGCGACCTTTGGAATAGCTGGTCTAGTTTTACCTCAGCTGCTGTCATGGAAACCCACTGAATGCCAGCTTCTCCCACAGCTGAATGTATTTAGAAGAGATAGAGAGCATTTGATAAAATAGTTGGTATAAAAAACCCCTTGTTGTAAAGGATACCCCCCCACAGTAGCAATTTTAATTAAATTAATCTTGCTTAGCCATGGAATGCCACAGCGGCTGTTTGTTAAAAGATATTTGCCAATTACTATAAACTTATTAGAACAAAAAACAGCTTAAACTAACTTAAGAACAATTCATTCAAGTCTCATAGAGATACAGAAAGCATTTCTTTAGAAGTAAAATTGTCTCTGAGAAAAGGAAAAAATGTCTTCAGAGAATAATGTGTTAAAAGACCCTTTTTCTCTCACCTGCAGTAAAATCAGGGGAAGCTGGAGACAATCTATTGAGTTTTATGGTCCGAGTACAGAAGCTTAGAGTGACATCAATGACAGGACTGTGAAAATTCTTTTATTAGACAGTTAGAACATCAACTTCTCTTTACTCAAGCTTTACCTAACTGGCAGAACAAGTAGTAGTGCCTTTTATTAGCAAAATAAAAAGGGCAACATCTCACTTATAACATAGTTGCCCTTGAACCCTATCTTACACACCAGACTAACTTGGGAAATCTCACAAAACCATGATCAACTTCTTTAGTTCAGATAAAAGAACCTAATTGGCTAAAATTGTCTTGTCTTACCTTTACACTTCAGAGGCTGATGTAGGATGATCATCTGCTAGAGAACTCATCTATAATTGAAACACTTTACATCTGTAAGTCCTTATCTCTTGGCTGGAGCGACCAACACATGAGGAGTCTCAAGTGGATACTTTAATCTACTCCCCTCTTTTCAGCTGAGTGAATGAGGATTATTGCTAAGAGATTTTTGAGACTTTTTTCTCAAACTTCATCTATCACCTATATCTTAGAAGAGGGTGGAACTAGGGCTTGTAAGGGTTAGCTGAGAGTATGCATCATCTTTGACCTGGCCTCCTGACAGGATACATTAATTTTAAAATGTTAAAGAGATATACTCTGCTAAAGTTTTCAATATTCCACTTTATAAACAAAAACATTTGATCCACAATCAGAGAGCAGAAAGCCTTTTCCCTGAACTGTGTTAGTGAACATTTCCATAGCTCTTTCAGCAGAGAGTTCTAGTGGGGTTTTAGTATAAACAGTAATGTAATCTGGAGGGGTGCAGAAGAGGAGATACTAATTGAAGTTCAGGACAAAGAAACCGAATTCCTAAAATTATACAAGAAACCACTTGGAATATAGAAGTCAGTGCTCTATTTTCTTGTCTTTATCACCGTACCTCCCTTCCTTTCCAAGTTTTCTTTCTCTCAGGCTATTTGGGTAGATTTGAGGACAAAGCACGTGCAAGTGCATTCCATGCTCCCTAGAAACAAATCCATTCAACATACAAGGGCAGAGGTTTCATTGCTCTGCTTATAAAACTAAATCATAACTAACAGTGAAAGTAATCCATAAAAGAGCAGGGCTGCACATGAGAGCTCTGGATGAACAGTGGGAAATACTTCTCCTTTTACATTTAGCTGAGTCATCACATTTTTATCAGCTGCTGATTTATTTTTTCCAATCTGCAGAGCACATGGAGGCAGGGCAAATGCAGATCTAGCTGCTCTCCATCTTGAAACAACCCCCCACCCTCTCCAACAAACTGTGCTGATAAAGCCTCTCCTTCTGGCGTGGGCAAAACATAGGGAAGTGTACAACGGTCTGTGCTATTACACTGCTACTGAGGAACAAATGGCATATTCTGCTTCCAGCAATTCACCTATGAGACCAGGTCCATCTGGTCTTCTTCCTCCAGAAACATATTGTACCAGGGTTACTGGAAGAAGAGTAAGAAAGGTAGCTGATGAGAAGAGAGGCCACATGAGCCAGTTTCTCTTTAAAAGCAATAGAGAAGCCTAAATGCCACACACATAGTTCAGAGGAACAGAGCAAACCCTAGGGAAAACCAAAAGAGATCTGCAATTAATTTCTATATTTCATTGTAAGTGTATGCTGAAATGCCAAATTACCTGTAAGGTAAGTGTAATATTGATGAACAGGAACTCAGCCAGCCAAAACAACAGGATCTAGGAATAAAGCCATTTAAGTTGTCCAAGACAACAGACTTTGTGGAGGAGTTACATCACCACAGGACACAAACTGGACAGAACAGAGAACAGCTCATGACTCTTCTCAAGAGAGCAGATGTCTGATGACTATTAAAAGAAAGGGAACTAGACAGCAAATGATCAGCTCCATATACAAGATTTGCTTCTCCTCAACAAAATGTGGAAAATTTCACATCATTTCCAAACACTAAGAGAATTGGTAGTAATTCTGTGCTATTTACTAATTGTTTAAATAAAGACCTATGAAATCAGACAAACAGGAACATTACCTTGAGGAAAGAAGCCATGTAGTTCCAAATGCTGTGCTGCCCTCTGATCTCTGTTCTACTCAAAGACACTCTTCTCAAAACCAATGAGTATTAATTAGAAAGTAATTGGAGAAGATCCATGTTGCTTTTTTCAATTGAAAAATCATTCCATTAATTTGTCTCTTCCCTGATAACTTTTTTCACTCTGTGTGTATTTCTCTCTCTCTGTTGTCTCCTTTTTGTTTTTTATGGTCAGGAAAGTTTCCATTCCAAGGACAAGTTCTTCAGAGTGTGGTGCCAACCTAGTTGAAACTACGAGTAGCAATGGCTGCAACAGTGAGTAGAGTTTAAAATTAAATGACCGGACTCCACAAGGGGTGTGGGGGAGGAAGTTTTTGTTAATTAAAGTCATGTGTTTTGTTTATTTTTCAGAAATAACGACAGCCTAAAGCATTAGAGCCGAAGAATGGTGGGGAAACAACATGCAGAGCAACCCTAGAATAGAAGCTGTAGAGGGTGACATGGTGAGCAAGATGAGGGAAGAAAGTTGCCTGAAACAGGAGGCTGACATGTTGGAGAAGACTACATCTAAAGCTTGAACAGTTGCACCTAATGGAGTTTCTGTGTACTTTTAAAGCTGTATCAATTATACAGAATTCACTATAATTTATGTTTGAATTCTGTGAGATTATTTATGGTTTTCAATAATGCACAGGTAGATGCGTGAGATAATTTTGGGTTTTACTACATGGGAAATAAATAAAATACAGTATTTATTTTCACTGCACAGAGAATATAAGATATCACAGGATTTTAGAGTGAGGTGATACTATGAATTTTTGATAGGGGTTTTTCATTTTTCACAGGATTTCCCCAGAGGGGCTGAAGCCTGTCTTGATTCAATAGTTTCAAAATTTATATTTGTGATACATGTCTAGAATTTGGCTTGTTTCAGATACCCTTACCAGATGTAGGGGAAAAACCCCAACCTTTCTCCCAGCTAATGCTTATGTTCTGTTTTGTTTTTAAATTGTAACATATCATAAGCATGAGCTACCATTGGTAGTTTATTGCCCAACTGCCTGGCACATGATTTTACACAAATTAAAGGGAAATATTAAGAAAATAGTTATAATGGTTAAAAAAAACTTTTAGGCAGAGTTTGGTGTACATTCCTAATACTAAATAAGACATCTTCCTTGATGGTTTTTAATTTTGTCTGGATTTCTTCTGAAAATCTCCCTACTGAGGGAAATTCAAACCTTACCTTGAATGTTCCAGTTTTCAGAAGAAATCAGGAATTTAGTTCATCAGGTCAATTTCTGACACAAAATATTATCCAGAGAGGTGTCCTGGCTGAAAAAATGCTGCCCTCTCCAAAGATTTATTTCTTTTATTCATGCAAGCATCTGTTGATCACACTAATATATTATATACCACACTTTGGTCCCTTACAGGATTCTCTTACTCAGACAGAGAGGCCACCTGCCATGGTTCATGTCTTTTTTTTGCCTTCACAACACAAAGAGAACGTCTGGTTAGTCAGAGGCATGGAAAATGTGAACTGAACAGTTTTCTTTTCAACTTACTTCTAGCACTGGAGGCTGAAACCAGCAAAAAAGCCAAATATGTTTCCATAATGGCACATTACCAAGCAGGTCATTAGGGATTAGCAGGTCATTGTATGGGATTTATAAGGTTGTATTGCAGGGAATATTAGCTAGAAAATTCATGAATTGAAAGGAGAGAAAATTCAGAACAGAGATTTCTTATCTCTGAAAGAAACAATCTGAAGATCTATAAAACCATAGGTGCAGAGAAAATGCTGAATAAGCTCCTATTTCTAGGATGTCTGCAACATGCTGTGGTGTCAGAAAGAGCAGTGTGTACTTTGTATCAATGTAGACAGCAGCACAGTGGGATGAGCAAGAAAAGGCACCTGGGTACAGTGGGTAAGGTGAGAAGTCAAAGAGAAATCACATCACAATGGCTACTAGAACACAAACCAGAATAATTCATTACCTTCTGAAAACTCCTGTCAGAGAGGTCAGAGTCCAAGTTAGTGCTCAGCATGTGAAAGGACAATCTGAGGGCACCAAGACTAACTTATATAAAGCACTAGAAGATCACTTTCTCCCCCTATTATCCAATCTTACATGTTATTTTCTGGACTTCAAATCTTTAGCTGAAGGAAGCTGATAATATTGTTTTAAAGGCTAGGAAAGATAAAAGTCATTTTTCATCATATAGGGACAGGCCACTGCTGTGCAGAGTTCAGGAGATGTGTAGCAGTACTGACAGCTACATCAGAATCAGCGTTACCTGAAGTACTTTGCACAGGCTCAGTGAAAATGAATCAGAGATGACAGCTGGTACATCACTGCTGTGGTATTGATCATGAGACACTCAGGCTTACAGTTGGGTATACTGTCTCCACTGAAGAAGGAAAAGGCTTGTGGTCATCTTCAGTGGCAATTTAGAAAGGAGATACTGATAGAAAATGTAAGAAATAAGTGGACTGAAGTTATTCTGTATAAGCTCTTTGAATCCTCTCAGCTTTCTAGACAGACATAGAATAATTACTCATTTTTCCTGAGCTTGTTTGCATTATTTGGGAAACAATCTGTACAAAAAGTGGGGCTGAACAAACTGACCCCGTGTTTAAATGCAAACAAGCGGATTTATGCAACATTGTTATCTGTGAAGGAAATGCTACTGGCAATTCAGACTGCCTCAAATCCATTGCATCTGAGAACATTTCAGCTGCTAAAATTATTTCAATAAACAAACTTTGTGACTATGATGTTCAAATCAAAATGACATCAGGCTACAAATTCATTTAAAGTGGTCAAATGCCACAGAAAGTACAGGGTAGCCAACAGTATATATAATAAAATAGTGCAACACTCTTTAGCAATGATTGCTTACAAAATTAATGAAGTAGTCCTGTGAGCAATTAAGTTAAGGAAACTCCAGTTCCAGTGGATCAGATCTTGCAGTTGGAGTCACTGGAGTCTTAAAAATTATTACAAATTTATAAACGTGTGAATAGTAAGGGCTCTCTCCTGTTTGACTCCCATTTTCATGAAACAGAAGATCTCATGTCTTTAAAATTACCTCTCCACCAGCTGAAAGGTTATGTAGTAGGGAAGAAGCTGGAAAAGACTAATTTACTAGGAAACTCCATTACTATGATCACACAACAATCTATTAGAGTGTTATGGCAAAAATTCTTTTATACCTGGGGATCATGTTATCCTGACAGAACCTTGTGGTAAAAGTCTCTTCACAGTGTATTGCAAAAACCTTTTGATCACTTGCAGAACTGACAGCCATTAACAGGAAATCTCTTTATAGACCTGTGAGTGTGAGGTGGCTTATATGTTACTCAATATAGAATTGTTTTTCATTAGCAGTCCAAACAAACACTGGAGCAAAGTATGGTGAAAGTTACAGTTAAAGAAGAAAGTCAAATGGTTTTTCAAAGAAAATGAGGATTTCTCTGTGCTGCATAGTATTTTGATTTATAATGTTAAATATTAAGCAGAAAAACCAACAGAAGTCCATTTGGTAGCACTCCCCATTTTAAAGATAACCTCAGTGTTGTGCAACTCCTTCAAAATTCACTGCACTAAAATAAAACATTTTCCTTCTGGCCATGAATTTTTGAAGAGCTGTAGAGAGGTTCTGATTGTGTAACTCAGTTATTTGAAAATAGAAAGCCAAGAAATGCTGGATAGAACTTCTCACAGCAGAAATGGTCATTATTCTGTGTAAGTTATCTGCTTATGCTCATCCAAGTCTGTTCTTGCTCTCCTGTAGCCTGTTCAACATAATCTGTATGTAAGGCAAGGGATCATTTCGTGACAGCAGAGGAGGCAATACAAACCCTGTGAAATACCAATAGTCAGGCTCCTGTTCAGTTCCATCTTTGACACTGACACTTCACTAAACCTTTCAGCAGGAACCATTTCTAGAGCTAGGTAAGGGCATGTGAACAGAACCTACAGCTGCAGAACCTGAAATAACAAGAAGATACTGATGGTTTCATCCCCCAAATTAAAGCTACAACCAATTTTTAACACTTTTCAATGCACCTCTATGTCAGTTTCTGTGGCATTTGAAAACTCTTTTTTTCAGGACACATTAAAAGTGACTGTTTTCAAATTATCCTCTCAATGCAAGTAATGATATTTCATCTGCAGCTTTTGTGCAGGCAAACAATGGGCTGTAAAAATCTGGGTGAGCTTCCACTGGTAGCGATTTTTAAGAGGGCTGGGTCACTTGAATCTATGTTGTACATTCTCCATCACAGAATTTGCTGCCCTGTCATTCAGTCATTTTCAGCAGGTCTGAAGATTCTAGGAGAGTTCCTCTTTGAAAGGATTATTGTTTGCCATCATTGTTGCCATATTGACAACTCAGCTGAGTTTATTTCAAAGAAAGCTGTTTTTAGCTCTCAGAGCTGTGAAAATTTATCATGGAAAGGTGACATGACCTACCACTGACTCAGTGATGTGAATCTCTGAAACATTTATTTCGAGAATTTTATGCTACCTGCTAATCTCAGGGAAGACACATCTGTGAAATGTAATGATGCCAATTTATACACTGTATTTAGAAGCACAAATCCCAATGATGTGGGAATAAATTTTTTTTCACCTAAATTATCAAAGTACTTCAGAGAAAAAAATCTAATTAGCTGTTTCTCTGCTGATAATTATATAAGTATCCAGGTGATATCACTTCCAAATCATCCAAACCTGTTAGAGGCATTTCCTCTGAGTTTCCAGTTTCTCACTGTAGCTCTATGTTCTCTTTAGAATAACACCCCACACTGTCCTGAAGTGCTGGTAGGCATGAAATAATCAATTAAAAAGGCTTCCATTGTTTAAACTTGTATTTGTTTGACCTAAACCAGTAATACAGGTGCAATGCACACCAGCAGCAGAAGTGAGCTTGCTTTACCTTGCTGCACACCCCAGAGCACGCAGTTCAAAATCCCTTCAAGGCTCATGTGGAGTCCTGCTGAAACAGCCTCTCCTGGAGCTGAGAAATGGGCTTAGAGCAGGAACAACTGCAGATAACTCGACTCAAACAACTGTGTAACCTGTGTTTTGTGTGCAGAACATGGAACTGCTCTATTAAGATTAAATGGATTTTAGAGAGCCACCACAGATTCATAAAGTAAAAAAAAAAAAAAAAATCTTCTCCGCCATGTAATCATGAAAAATAATCCGACACTGGAGCAAATAATTACTTTCTTAATGTTTGCAGAGTGCTCAGAGACTATAAGAGATCCTATAAAAGACCATTTAACTGTACATTTAATATCTTTGTAACTCCTAACTATGCAAACTTCTATACCTCAAATGTTATTTTTCTGTATCATTCTGTTGAGTAAAACAGAAGCAGGTATCTGAATGACAAATGCTTTTTGCTTTTCTCTCACGGGGCTGATCACCAGAAAACTTAATTCCATTTTCTGATATGAAAGCTAAGAACCCCCACAACTACACAGTTATTTCTAGTAGAAAAAAGTTCTTCATTTTTAGAAGGAAAAATAGAAGCTAGGAGGGTGTAATGACACTGAGTGAGTTTTGAGGTAAAATTTTAACTAGAAATTCAGAATCCTATGTAACTATTTGTTCTTAAAAGTTTTGCTCCTCTTTACCAATTTTTTCTCGTTTTATTACAACTGCATGTTACAGAAACATCCTATGAGGAGATCTTTGGATAGCAACGTTAAAATAGAAGTTGCAGTAATAGCTTTATGTTTGGTAATTGCTACTTTGGTGGTGGGAGTACAAGGTTATACATCACATGCTTGCTTATTATTTTTTTTTGAAACCTACAGATCAATTAATTGAATGATACATCAAGAACAAATGTACAGCAAAACATTCATATTCAAAACATTGGAAAAAACAGTGTTTTTACCTTTTGTCAGCAAAACTATCACTCCTCCCTGAAGGTCTTGTGACTTTGCAAGTTTTACTTTTTTCATAACAAAACCAAAATCCAGTTGTGGTCACTTAGGGACTCTGCTCTCTTGTTGGAAACCCGTTACTGTCAGCACTGTAACAATTGCAGATAAACCTTATCTTTAGAGCAGTCCTGCTATTCACATTTGCCTCAATTGCTGAATACTCATTTAAGTAACTCTATCCACTTTAAAACCTTGTGCTGTTTCTTTTGAATGACAGAAGTATAAATGTTGGCACTGCAAAAGTCTCTATCAATTATCTCTGCCTTTTGGTACATGCACCTTGTAATCAAATATATCTGGGGTTCTCTAAGGAGTTGTGGTTGAAGAGCAAATAACAGTATGGAGGCAAAATGAACTTGAATAGCAAAACACTTTAATCACAGATGTTACAATTTCATCACTTACACCACTTCCCTGTCACATGGCAGGCATGATGTGCCTGGGACAGACAGTGTTGTGGTTCCAGCCATGTGCATGGTTCTAGGGTATTTTGGGCCCATCCCCACACTTGACACTGGAGACAAGGATTCCTGGATTCTGATGCAGATCTCCCACCCCTCCACCCCCCGTTCTGTACCGTGTTTACCTCTGAAGGTTCCTCAGCTCCAGGACCTGCTGCCCGTGCCCTGCAGACCACCCTGGCAGTTCTGGTTTAACTGTGCCATCGTCTGAGCTCACCATCAGCTCCTGTGACCTTCAGGCCGACTCTGCACTGCTACTGAGGACACGTGGTTGATCACTCTTAACTGCTCGAACACAGCAACCTGCTAACCTTCCTAGGCTGCTCAGCATGGCTGACAGCACCAGGAATCCTGTCTGCATTACAGAAACAAAACATCTCCTTTCTGTCCTGCTCCAAATGGTTATTGCAGACACCAAGGGCTAAATGGGACATTCTGGTTATGCTAAAATAACACACAGCCACCTCGCACCAAGGGGCTTCTCTGAAAATTCAACCAATACTCCACTTCCAGATACCTTGCCTTCTAAATGAAATAACTGAACGTTGTCCAACTCACAGCTCATCTACCTTCTAATTAAAAAAACCCCTCATCAATACAGCCATGAGGAAGTGCTGTCTGCACTCAGCACACTGACACCAACAGTTAATGCTCAGGACAGATACACCCCTATTAAAGCTCGTTAGGCCACATTCAGGAAAAGTTTTAACTAGACATGGGCATAAAGTTGCTAACTGAAGTTTTCCTTGGTACATTTAAAGCAAAAAATGTTACTTTCTTGTACAACGTACAGGTAAGTATTTTCTTTTTACTACACTGAAAATGGGCCAGCTGCCCGAATTTGCATTTAGAAATCTGGTGATATGGTGCAAAATTATTCTTGTTTTATTGTCATTCTATTACTAAGTGAAAATAAAAGGGAGGAAAGAATTTAAAAAGCAGCAAATATATTATCAGCTATACTGAGACTATGCTGAATTTACTTACTTGATACTGCATGCCAGCTGCAGCAATCAAAACAGGTGACTGATGTAAAAGCATAGGAAAAACAGAAGCACAAGTCTTACTTAAAGTCTCTATATAAATATAATAAACCCAGATCTTTTGTGTCCCACAGTTCCAAATTAAAGAGCAAAAACTTCCTAAAGAAACTTAAAGATGGATAGACTTATTTCTGAGCATTCTGGACTTAAAAGATTGTAGTCACACTACAGGAGAAGAGGCAACCACTACTATATTCTGAACCACATAGTTAAGCAACTGAAATTCAGTTCAAGGTGCTGAGCCCAGCTGTACTCTTAGCTGGACAACATCTTTAAATCAGAGCTTTTTCTCTAAGAATAGAAGGCAAGGTATTTTCACATACTTCTATCTTTATTTAAGAAGTACTTCTTTACTTTTCTCTAAAGATTTTCATTGATTTTATCTAGGAAAACTGTTCAGTTTTGCAAATAGGACTCTGGGAGTTCTGCATCTCTCTAGAGATAAAATCCAGGAAATGGTAGATTTAATGCATCTGTAGTTTTCCTAGAGTGCTTTACATACATAGAGCACATCAAAGTACTCTCTCTTTCTACATTTGGGTTTGGGTTTGCCATTGACACTAAATGGGCCAGGGAGGGGATTGTCCTGCTCTGCTCTGCACTGGGGCAGTCTCCAGCCCTGGGGGCAGTTTTGGGCACCTCAACATAAAAAAGACATGAAGTTTAGAGGGGATCCCAGAGGAACGCCGTGAGGAAGGATCTGGAGGGGAAGCCTTATGAGGAGTGGCTGAGGACAATTGGTTTGCTCAGCCTGCAGAAGAGACTGAGGGGAGACCTCACAGTGGTCTTCAACATCTCTTCACTCTCACGACCAGCGACAGAACTCAAGGGAATGGCAAGGAGCTGAGTCAGGGAGGTTTAGGTTGGGTATCAGGAGAAAGTTTTTCACCCAGAGTGGCTGGGCACTGGAACAGGCTCCCCAGGAAAGTAGTCAGAGCACCAAGCCCTGCCTGAGCTCAAGAAGAGTTTGGACAACACTCTCAGGCACTTGGTGAAATTCTTGGGGTGTCCTGTTCAGGGCCAAGAGTTGGACTCAATGATCCTGATGGGTCCCTTCCAATTCAGCATATTCTGTGATTTGTAGAAAACATTTCATTACGGAAGAAAGAGGCTTTCTTCAGTTGCAGAACTCCATCAAATATAATTTCCTGCAATTCTGATGTATACAGGGGATTACACAAAATGCAAGGTTTTCTCACAGATATTATAGTAAACTCTATTGCAACTACAAGACTCGATAATATTACCAAAATGATGTTTACGTTTTGGAAGGGGCTTTGACTGCAAGATGTCCACTCTTCCAGACTTCTTAGCTCTCTGGAATGAAACAAACAGCTCACTGAAGCATTAAACCTTACTTATGCTTGGCTAACAGTAGTAGAACCAAGGAGCAGATCATCCTTTATGTCATTACATTCTCTTAATACGAAATTCCCGGTAACTATTCGATCACATCCTATTTCCCCATGTCCAAAAAAGCCAAAGAGGGGGACATTTGGAAAAAACTTCCTAAATGCATCAGCTTCCATATTCCTTTTGGTTTTGTAATGCCGATATCCTCTGCCAACACAGGCAAACATGAAGCCAATGGTGTTGTGCTCGGGGATGTTTGCTGCTTTGAGACGCTGCATGGCCGCTTCCGCTGTCCTCTCATCGGCCACGTCCTGGTCTAACAGGACAGTGGCGCTCTGGATCTGGGCACCGCTGAAAGCCAACCCAACCACGCCGCAGGCATCGCCAGGCTGGGCGTGGCTACTGAAAGGCAACAGGCACCAAGTTAGACAATGTCTTGGGGGCACCACTCCTCACCTGACTGCACTGCTGCTGCTGCAGCACACTGGGTTCAAAGCAGCCAACACTGCACTGATTCTGATACCATCCGGAGTTAGAAAGCAAACGAAAGACTTCATATTTCAGCAATGCTTTTGTGTAGCAACCTTTCACCAGGAAAAACTTCCACATTCATTACTAGGTATAAAGCATAAACTTATTTCATTCACACCAAATTCAGCAGCCTGTGTGTGTCATACCTCTGCAATTCCAATGAAACTGCCAGTTAAACTTAAGACAAGCAAAGGCACTGCGGATTTATACATTGAAGCAGGGCAGCAGTCAGTAAAGGTCTTTGGATTCACGTTGCTTTAAACTGGTTGGCCTGGACACACGGGGTTAAGTAGTTACGTACTTAACCTTTATCTGCAGTGACTTTATTTAAGGTCAGCTCTGTTATCTGGGACAATGGTGCAGCTGACAAAATCAGATGCAAGAAAAACTTTGATATTAGTGTGGACTCCAGACCTGCCATGGCACAAGAAGCCCACAGGCACAGCTGCACTGTGCTCCACAGGATGGAGTGCCACATCCTTCAGCAGCCAGGGTGGCTCAGGTGAGCTCCTGGGGCACAGCCCTGCCATGTGTGCAGCTGCTGCTCTGTGCCCCGAGCCAAACCGGGGCAGGTATACAAACACATGGCCACATCCTGGGCTCCATCACAACGGGTACTCATTTACCTGCACTCCAGAGAAGAAATCCTGACTGCAATAAACACACAAAGGTATCTGAAGCTGGAAATCTTCTTTCCAGTTGGTTTCTCCAAGCTGGGTTTCCAGAATCCAAATTGTATCACAGCCATACAAAGCTTGCAGATTTTCCGGCTATATCATAGTGTAGCAATTGGGACACTTTTCCCTTTAAGAAATTGTTTTACTACTGTAAAGGGGATTTTCAATGTAACTAGAAGGCTATGGATCTGCAATGTTTCTCTCATTTTTTCCAGTTTCTTCATCGTTTACCTTGAAAAAAATACCTACTTCTCAGAGGTCAGTGATGTAAAGCTCTCCACTTGTCCCCCAGCCAGGATGATACTTTTCTCATTCAATGGATTGACTATTTGATGAAGAAATCGAGTAGCTCCAGTCTTCCAGGAGTTGTAGCCAAACAGAAGAACAACACGGAGATCTGGGTTATTCTTCAGACCTACAAACAAAAGCCAACACTGATCTCCTTATTTTTAAAACCAGAACACCGAAATCCAACCATAGTTTCTCCTCAAATAATACATCACACCTCTCTCCGAGCAGCTTCGTTTGAAATGTAACAGAGGTGACTGGAAAGTTATCCTCAGATAACTTATCCTTATTAGTACTGCAGAGACTGGGAGGAGCAGAGATGCAGTCACCAGCTGGAGCCCCACAGAGGCTCTTGGAGCCAGAATAGAAGTTGCTGGTTCTACACAGAACTCCAGACTGGCACCTCAGAGAGCAGCACCTCACAAAAGACCACGTACAGGAGAGAAAAATTACATACCTGCTTCAGCAAATTTACTTTCATCAAAGACCCTGTTCTTCACGTCTTTAGAAAAATGGAAGGTATGAATTTTCACCCCATCAATTTTGGGAAACAACAGAGCAAATCCAGCTTCGCCCTCTTCAATTTCTTGAGGCTGATTGCTGCTTGAACCCATCGGGGTAACTACAGAGACAAAACCAAGCATCTTGTGTTCAGAGATTCTAACACTTTCATTTACACTGTAACATGGGCAGAAAGAGGTCGAACAGCTCAGCTGATAAAAAAAACCACGACAATTTATTTCTGTAACAACTTATCTAATTGAAAACTGGTGTGACTTTTTGTTAACGTTTTGGAAGGATGAAATCTGTAAGTCCTGCTGGCTATCAATCACGCTGAAATCAGCTTCGACACAGAGACATGGATATATTTACAGATATCCCCCCAGGCACACCGAACATAAAACACCAGGAAAACAAGAACACTGCAATACAAGCCTTCCTGCCAGCTTCTGCAGGCACACAGACATATTCAAGTTTTTAAGGTGTCCTATAAGCATGTGATGACAGTATAAAGCAAACTGACACAAAAATTGAGAGTGTATTATTAAAATATGGCAATGACAACAATCAAATACCTTACTTATGATGTGGGAAGTGAATTTTAGGTGAGAAACTGTAAAAAACCAACTTTCTAATGATAAGAGTGAAGCATGAGAAAAAGTCTGCCATGGGAGGCTGTGAATTTTCCAGTTACTGCATAGGCCTCCTGCTAGACCTTTACAAACAAGTATATTCCAGGATGCCCTGCGCAGTTAGTCACAATATGACTGAAATGTATACATAAATCCAAGGAACATTTAATAAGTACATTAAGGTGCCAGAGGAAACTGCCTACCCCATTAAACCAACCCTTATAATTAAAACTGCAATACATGAAGTAAGCTCCATGTCACTTAGCAGCGACATTGTGAACTCCTTAAAATTGAAGCCAGTGCCGAACAGAGTGGGAGGTGACACCTTCAAGCTGACCTCTCAAAAATCCACACATTTTGCTCCTACCTACAATCCCTGGGGTGACCAGTCCAAGAACCTGGCATCGCTTTGGCAACAACTTTTCAAGTGCAAGTGCTGTTTCTTTACTGTTTCTTTTTCTGGCTGTTAAAATAAGAAGAGACCAAGATCACCATCACACAACAGTAAAAGCCTGTTCTGAGCAAATCCCAGAGCCAGCCCCGTCCTGTTTAACCAATGCTGCCCATCAGTGGCCGCCCTGATAACAGCACGCCGGTTTGTGCTGCTCCCTGAGAACACAGGGCTGCCGGCAGGCAAACACACTCAGCGTCCTCCGCAGGAGGGAAAGGAAAAGGGAAAATCTATGCACGTTAACACAGATCTGTGAGCTGCTTCGTACCACAAATGCAATACTACGGCGGTCATGATTTCTGCAAAACATTCCCTTTCCACTGAAACCAGAACTCAGAGAACTAATTCCCTTTCAGCTGACTCTGCTCTACTTACATCCCGG